TACTGTACTCAAGGGGGAAGAGGCTGGCGTTGTACTCAAAGGAGGGGGGTGATGTACTCAAAGGCTAAATTCAATGTACTCATGGGGTTAATTTATAGTACTCAGGGGGTTTAAATACACCTTCAAGTTAACATAAATCACACTGGTACTCACATAGACACACACACCTACGTCTTGGTCACCTGTACAATTCTGTAATTAAGGAAAGGGTTAACAAGTAGGTAAATATCACAATAGGTAAGTAAAAAATGCAGGTGAGTCGATAACAGGTAAGTCTTGGTTAACTCCGTCAGTCAGTCAAGTCAGTCAGTCAGTTAAGTGTCAGTCAGTCAGTCAGTCAGTAAGTCATTAAGTCAGTCAGTCAAAGTCAGTCAGTCAGTCAGTTAAGTCAGTCAGTCAGTTCAGTTAAGTCAGTCAGTCAGTTAAGTCAGTCAGTCAGTTAAGTCAGCAGTCAGTCAGTTAGTCAGTTTAAAGACTCATTATTATTCATTTGTCTTTCTTCGTCTTCATAATTTATCTACATTTACTTCCATTCTACTTCTGAAGGGGAGGGGAAGGAGGGAAGGAAGAGAAGGAGAAGAGAGAGAAAAAAAAAAAAAAAAAAAAAAAAAAAAAAAAAAAAAAAAAAGAGGTAAAGAGATAGGTGGATTAGGGATGACATATTGGAAAGAGGAGAGAGGATGGAGAGGAGGATTATGGTGAGAGGGAATACGAGGAGGGAAGAGAGGGAAGGGAGAGGGGAGGAGAAGGAGAGGCTAATGGAGAGGGAAGGGTTATGATGATAGGCCAATGGAGAGAGAGAGAGAAAGAAAAAACAAAGAGAGATTTTCTCTTACACATACACACACACAAGCATGTGTGTGTATGTGTGTGTGTGGTCAAGGTGTGTATGTGCGTGCCTGTGTGGTCGTGTGTGGGCGTGTAAATGTTGTCATGATAGCGGTGAGACAAAGGAGGGGAAGGATGGGGAGAAGGAGGAGGAAGAAAGGGGAAGGAGGGAAGGAAGGGAAGGAGGAGGGGAGGGTAAGGAGGAAGGGAAGGAAGGAGGAAGGAGGAAGGGAAGGAAGGAAGGAAGGGAAGGAGGAGGTAGGCGATCTGTTCGTCAACACTGAAAGAGATGCTTCCTTCATACTGCCTCCTGCTTGATCGATGACCACACACACACACACACACACACACACACACACACACACACACACACACACACACACACACACGCTAATTCATCCTTCCATTTATCATACACTAAGGATCTACTGCACCCATATACATCATACACGTGCATTGTATTTCTCTCATTCAACATACAAGACATTCAAGAATACAATACCCATATATAATGTATATATTCATACTTTATACAGTGACGATTTATTCTGATACATCATACAATTAAGATTAATGACAAAATAGAATACAAAATCACGATATATTTGATAATACAACACATACAGTATACAGTATATATATACACTACTTTGTGCACATACAACATACATGAATTTATTCTTGAGAGAGAAAAAAGAGAGAGTGTGTGTAGGGGGAATCTATTACCCCCCACACGTGGTTTTAATGAGAGGAGGGGGTGGAGGGGGTGTATGGTTTTGTATAGAGGGAGGTGTGTTGGGGTATAGGGGAAGGTGGTAGGGGATGGAGTATTATTTTAAACTCCAAATGGGCTCTCTATTTTTTAGGGATTAAACCCACCGGTACAGGTCAATGGCCCACATCAGGGCTGGAGGAGCGAAAAATATAACAATAATAATAATAATAATAATAATAATAATAATAATAATAATAATAATAATAATAATAATAATAATAATAATAATAATAATAATAATAATAAAGAACCATAAAATACATAAATGAGAAACAATATATGTATGTTGTAAGTGTCATAGTAAGAGAAACAATTGAGACCCTGCAACTGTGTGTAAATAAAGCAGAAAGTCAGATCAGCAACCTGGGACTTGGTCACATATGGCAGCAGGGTCTACCATTAGCAACACATTATGCTTCCAATATCTCCCAGACGGTAGTACCTCCCTGTCTGGTAGCTGCCATCATCTATTCATCTATCTATCTATCTATCTATCTATCTATCTGTCTGTCTGTCTGTCTGTCTATCTAGCATCCATCTATCTATCAATCTAATCTCTCGTTATCACTCTATTTTAATTTCCTGTTGTTTTTCAGTAATACATTATTATTCTTTATCTGTTTCTCTGTCTGTCTCTCTGTCTATCTCTGTCTGTCTCCATGTCTTGTCTGTCTGTGTCCGTCTGTCTCTCTCTCTCCTTGTCTCTTCCCATTCGCTATTTCCTCCTCCCCTTCCTCTTTCATCACCTTCCCACCCACCAACCGGCATTCTCTGTCCTCTACCTCTTCCTTTTCTGTGAGAGAGGAAAGAGGAAGATTAAAAGAAAATGAGAGAGAGAGAGAGGTTGGATGTGGTGGTGGTGGTAGTGGTGGTGGTGGTGGTGGTGGGTGGGTGGTGGTGGTGGTGGTGGTAGTGGTGGTGGTGGTAGTAGTGGTGGTGGTGGTGGTGGTGGTGGTGGTGGTGGAGGTGGTGGGGTGGTGGTGGGTGGGGTGGATGGTGGTGGGGTGGTAGGTGGTGGTGGGTGGTGGTGGTGGTGGTGGTGGTGGTGGTGGTGGTGGTGGTGGTGGTGGTGGGCAGGTGGGGGTGGTGGTGGTGGTGGTGGGTGGTGGTGGTGGTGGTGGTGGTGGTGGTGGTGGTGGTGGTGGTGGTGTGGTGGTGGGTGGGGGTGGTGGTGGTGGTGGTGGTGGGTGGTGGGGGTGGTGGTGGTGGTGGTAGTGGTGGTGGTGGTGGTGGTGGTGGTGGTGGTGGTGGTAGGTGGTGGTGGTGGTGGTAGTGGTGGTGGTGGTGGTGGGGTGGTGGTGGTGGGTGGTGGTATGTGGTGGTGGTGGTGGTGTGTGGTGGTGGTGGTGAGGTTGGTGGTTGGTGGTGGTGGTGGTGGGTGGTGGTCGTGGTGGTGGGTGGTGGTGGTGGTGGTGGTGGTGGTGGTGGTGGTGGTGGTGGTGTGGTGGTGGTCGGGTGGTGGTGGTGGTCGTAGTGGTGGTGGTGGTGGTGGTGGTGGTGGTGGTGGTGGTGGTGGTGGTCGTGTGGTGGTGTGGTCGTAGTGGTGGTGGTGGTGGTGGTGGTCAGTGGTGGTGGTGGTGTGGTGGTGGTGGGGGTGGTGGTGGTCTGCGGTCACATCCGTCACCCATAATGTGGAGGAATTCACAGCAACATATTTGTGTAGTGGGGAGTGTGGTGGAGGGAGTGGTGGAGGGGGTGTGGGGATGATACTGTGGTGGCGATTGTGTGTAGTGATAATGATTGTTGTAATGGGAGTGGTATTGTTATTTCACTCTCTCTCTCTCCTAGACTGGTTCAGTGACACAACACTCGTCACCCATTTAAGAGGTCAAGGTTCGATCCCATCCTAAAAAATAACAAATAAACCACAATAACAATTACAATAAATAAGAAAAATAAATAAACAATAATTCCCATCAATAATTAATTACCCCAAGACGTTATGAGATATTTAATTACATAACTCAATTAAGTGAGTCACATCACCAACTTGGTCATTTTGAAGAGTTTGTCCATACACTTCATTTTATTTTTTATTCTTCTTCTTCTTTTTTATCATCTCTGTTCCTGTTCTTTCTTTTTTTCGTTTCCTTCCGTCTCCTTCCGTTCATTTCTTCCTTGTCTTTTGTATATTTCCTTCGTCGTTCTTTTAGTTTTTCTTAATTATCATCTTTATTATTATTTTCATTATTATTATTAATATTATTATTTTGCTTCGTATTATCAATTTTATTATCATATTAACTACTGACCACCACACTAACTACCCACCACCACACTAACTACTCACCACCACACTAATTACTCACCACCACCCTAACCACTCACCACCAACCCTAACTACTCACCACCACACTAACTACTCACCACCACTAACCACTCACCACCACCCTAACCACTCACCACCACTAACTACTCACCACCACACTAACTACTCACCACCACACCAACTACTCACCACCACCTAACTACTCACCACCACCAACCACTCACCACCACACTAATCCACCACCACCACACTAACCACTCACCATCACACTAACTACTCACCACCACACCAACCACCCACCACCACTAACCACTCACCACCACACTAACCACCCACCACCACACCAACTACTCACCACCACCTAACTACTCACCACCACACTAACTACTCACCCACCACACTAACTACTCACCACCACACTAACTACTCACCACACTAACTACTCACCACCACACTAACTACTCACCACCACACTAACTACTCACCACCACACTAACTACTCACCACCACACTAACTACTCACCACCACTCTAACTACTCACCATCACCCCAACCACTGCCACCACACTAACTACTCACCATCACCCTAACTACTCACCACCACACTAACTACCCACCACCACACTAACTACTCACCACCACACTAACCACCACCACCAAACTAACTACTCACCACCACACTAACTACTCACCACCACCCTAACTACACTCACCACCACACTAACCACCCACCACCACACTAACTACTCACCACCACACCAACCACTCACCACCACACTAACCACCCACCACCACACTAACTACCCACCACAACTAACCACTCACCACCACACTAACTACTCACCACCACCCTAACTACCACCATCACCTAACTACTCACCACCACAAAAACTACTCACCACCACACTAACTACCCACCACCACACTAACTACTCACTGAACCACCGGCAGTCGGGTCAAAAGACGAGTAATGACCTGACCTAACTTAACCTAACCATTGTTTCATTATGCCTGTAACTATCCCATACATGGTCCAAGTGTGCTATCTCCCCTCTCCTCCCTCACCGCCCCCTCCCTCACCGCCCCCTCCCTCACCGCCCCCATCCCTCCCTTTCTCCTCCTCTCTACCGCCGCCCCTATTGTATGTTGTATTTGATCCATCTTGTGTTGTATTTGATCCATCTTGTGTTGTATTTGATCCACCCTGTGTTGTTTTGATCCACCCATGTGTTGTATTTGATCCACCCTGTGTTGTATTTGATCCACCTTGTGTTGTATTTGATCCACCCTGTGTTGTATTTGATCCATCCTGTGTTGTATTTGATCCACCCTGTGTTGTATTTGATCCACCTTGTTGTTTGATCCACCCTGTGTTGTATTTGATCCACCTTGTGTTGTATTTGATCCTCCTGTGTTGTATTTGATCCACCCTGTGTTGTATTTGATCCACCTTGTGTTGTATTTGATCCACCCTGTGTTGTATTTGATCCACCTGTGTTGTATTTGATCCACCTTGTGTTGTATTTGATCCACCTGTGTTGTATTTGATCCACCCTGTGTTGTATTTGATCCACCTGTGTTGTATTTGATCCTTGTGTTGTATTTGATCCACCTTGTGTTGTATTTGATCCACCCTGTGTTGTATTTGATCCACCTTGTGTTGTATTTGATCCACCCTGTGTTGTATTTGATCCTCTGTGTTGTATTTGATCCACCTTGTGTTGTATTTGATCCACCCTGTGTTGTATTTGATCCACCCTGTGTTGTATTTGGTCCACCTTGTGTTGTATTTGATCCACCCTGTGTTGTTTTGATCCACCCTGTGTTGTATTTGATCCACCCTGTGTTGTGTTGATCCACCTTGTGTTGTATTTGATCCTTGTGTTGTATTTGATCCACCCTGTGTTGTATTTGATCCTTGTGTTGTATTTGATCCACCCTGTGTTGTATTTGATCCACCCTGTGTTGTATTTGATCCACCTTGTCTGTTTGTGTTTTGATCCTGTGTTGTATTTGATCCACCTTGTTGTATTTGATCCACCCTGTGTTGTATTTGATCCACCTTGTGTTGTGTATTTGATCCACCCTGTGTTGTATTTGATCCACCTTGTGTTGTATTTGATCCACCTTGTGTTGTATTTGATCCATCCTGTGTTGTATTTGATCCACCTGTGTTGTATTTGATCCACCCTGTGTTGTATTTGATCCATCCTGTGTTGTTTTGATCACCTGTGTTGTATTTGATCCACCTGTGTTGTATTTGATCCACCCTGTGTTGTATTTGATCCTCTGTGTTGTATTTGATCCACCTGTGTTGTTTTGATCCACCTTGTGTTGTATTTGATCCACCTTGTGTTGTATTTGATCCACCCTGTGTTGCATTTGATCCACCTTGTGTTGTATTTGATCCACCCTGTGTTGTATTTGATCCACCTTGTGTTGTATTTGATCCACCTTGTGTTGCATTTGATCCATCCTGTTCACCAAAAATCCTAAAATCCTTAAAAATCCCAATACACAATCTACCTACCTAGGCCCCCCTCCCCCCTCCCTCCCCCTCCCCTCCTCCCCCTCCCCTCCCTCGTCGGGTCTTTTAAGCGAGTTAAAAATAGCAAATGGCTTATTGCATCATATAGTCATAAATAAACATCTGAGAGTTGTTAAAAATATTTCAGCCATTAAACGATTGGGGCAATAACTGGGGCCCTGTAACACAGAGAGAGATTAAAGGCTCTCTCTCTCTCTCTCTCCACACACACACACTATGCAAATGACCCAAATGAAGCATAAATAATGACACCTTTATCTTAAGCCATTTATTCGACCAGGTATACACAGTCAGACGTACACGGCACAAGTTGCACACACATACACACATACACACACGCGATAAGTACACGCACATATGTATGTTTTTTTTAAGGTTTACATATAGTTCGTTCAGGTGTTCTCATTAGTTTAAGGTGTGTGTGTGTGTGTGTGTGTGTGTATTATTATTTATCTAAGCCTTTAATACACCTACGTATGATTACCTATTACAGTGAGCAAGGCGGTGATTGGTGGAGACTCGTATGTTATCGTGGCGTTCATTGGCTGGTATCTGTATGTAAGCCGAACGCTGAGTGGTTCAAGTAGGGTGTTGTTCGAGGTCGTAAGTAAGGCGGCGCTAGTGGTTGTTAGTCGTAAGTTAGCGAGGTTATGATTGGTTGTTGTTGAAAATCGTTAGCAAGACTACTACTACTACTACTACTACTACTACTACTACTCTCTCTACTACCAACACCCTCCTCACCCCATCTCCCCCTTCCCCACCACACCTATCCCCCCTCCCCCCTCCCCTCTCCCTCCCTCCCCTCACAACACCGAACAGGGCAGCAGACACCGATGACGGAAAGGCAGTGGCCATTACTGAGTTTTATTGCCCTTAACGAGGTGGTTGGTGGCACCTCCCCAGTAGTTAGGGCCTAGAGGGAAGAGGGACTATCTCAGATTTACCCCCTCCCCTTACCCTCCCCCTTATGTGGCTCTTGAATTTTGGCACTCTCGTTATACACTATTCCAGGCACGATTCCTACCATCATTCCCAATATTCCTGGCACTATCTTTGCTACCTTTCTAATGCATCAGGTACTATTCCCAATATTCCAGGCACTATTACAACTAACAAATCTAATATTCCTACTACCGTTCCCAATATTCCAGGCACAATTCCTAACACCATTACCAATAATTCCAGCCGCTACTGCAACCAACAGGCCTAATATTACTGGCACTCTTCCTACCACCATTCCCAATATTCCAGACATTATTACCATTAACACTGGTCAAGGCACTATTCCCAGGGTCACTCAAACAGAATTCCAGGAACTACCACCATTTTCATTCCCGGTATTCAAGGCACGATTCCCAGTAGGTTCCTAAGCGCTCACGGGCACAATTCCTGGAAGGTGTCTGACTATTCCTGGCACTATTCCCGGTTCCAACAATTCCTGACACTAAGGGGATGCCAAGAAATATTCCCATAGTAGTTAAGGTTTTTACCCATTATGGATAATTTCAATTCCTTTTTGCACCATTAAGTTGAGGCTAATTCCCCTTAACGCTTCACCAGGAGCTAACAGAAAAAGATGCACCATTAACCACCATTCCTACACCATTAACATTAACCACCATTAACTAACAAAAAGATGCACCATTAATTTAGGTACAACTCCACATAACTTATTTTTTTACAGTTGACGCCATTAAAGGTTAAGAAAAAATCCCTGAGTGTAAAATCCTGAACCATTATGAAGAAATCCATTAAGTTATACACAGTGCACCATTAACTACAGAATAATCTCCCTTAACTTATAACACTACACCATTAACTACAGAATAATCTCCCTTAACCTATAACACTACACCATTAACTACGATACCTTTCCTCTATCTTACGAACAATTAGCCACAGATTTACGATACCTTTCTTTAAAACTTACGAACAATTGAAATATTTACGATACCTTTCCTCTATCTTACGAACAATTGAAATATTTACGATACCTTTCCTCTATCTTACGAACAATTCTTCCAGGACAATTACGATCGTTTTCCATCCACACTCTGGTACACCTCAACCGTAAGTTACGATATATACATATTACGATGAATTTTCCTTCAGTTACGATCCATTCTCCCTCAGTTACGATCACGATTTACGACAATATCTCCTCCAGACTACGATAAAAGTCGTCTCCAATCTTCCTCAGAGTTACAATAAAACTTACGAGCCACTTTTCTCATTTACGATAAAAGTTACGACCGATTCTCCAAAGTTACGATCATTTATCCTTTTAATAACTACGATAAGGGTTTGTAATAAGTTCTCCTCTACTCTAAGAATCGTAGGTAATTTTCTCTTAAGTTACGATAAAAGTTACGATCAATTACACTTAGCATTATTTCTTCCTCAATTTACGATAAAAGTTACGATCAATTAATTTTTTGCCGAGATAAAATTCACAATTCTCTTTCTCAACTTACGATAGATTCATTAAGGTTTAATTACTCTTTAATTTACGATAATTTCACCCAGCCATTCTCAGTCTCTCGTAAGTTGTGAGACAAGAGAAAAGTCGCAGATCTGTGGGGGAGGGGCGAGGAGGGCGGAAGGAGTCCAATAGTCTAATTTGCATATAAAAGAAAATGTGTTTCTCTCTCTCTCTCGTGTGTGGGTGTGTACGGTATCACACACACACACACACACACACACACACACACACACACACACAGGTAGGCTAATTGCTTTAAGGTACAACACAATGCAAGAATAAATATTGAGAGGGAAGAGAGAAAAATGAATAAGGGGAAACCAAATGAGAAATGAGGGAAGGAAGGCTAAATGACATCACGGACCCCAATGTGTATAACAAAGATGGGGAAGTGAGGAAGGTAAGAAAGGGATGGTGGAGGGTGAGAGGTGAAAGGGACGAGGATAAGGGGTTGTGAGGTGGGGGAGAGAAGGAGGGAGGATTTATAGGGGAGGAGGAAAGGAGGGGCTGGAATAACAACGAGGAAGAGGACGTTGGATAAAGAAGGAATAAATAAAGGAGAATATGAGAGGGAAGAGAATAGGAGATGGGAGGGAAGAGGAGAGGAAAGGAGAGGTAAAGAAGAACCTGATGGAAGAGGAAGACAAAGAGAAGGAAGAAGACAAGGAGCGAAGAAGGAAAAGGAAAGGAAAAGAAAGAGAAAGAGGAAGAGGAAGAATGAAATGGGAAGAGGGGAAATGAAAGCAGGTGGAAGGGGATGTCGTTAGGTGGAAAAGGGGATGAAGGTCTCTGGAAGGGGAGAGATGAAAGGTGGGTGGTTAATGGAAAGGAAAAATAGAAGAGGGAAGGACCGGGTAATTGAGAGGAGGAGGAGGAAGAGAGGAGGGAGAGAGTAAGAAGAAGAGGAGGAGGAGGGAGAGGAGGTGGAAGAAGGAGGAGGGGAGGAAGAGGAGAGGAGGGAGAGAAGGAAGAGGAGAAGGAAGAGGGGGAGGAGGAGGAGGAGGAGGAGAAAGAAGAAGCAGCTAAGGACAAAGAATAAGAAGAGGAACAAGAGGAGGAGGAGGAGGAATAGGAGGAAGAAGATGAAAAAGAGAAGGAATAAAAAGAGGAGGAAGAAGATGAGGAGAAAGAAGAAGAGAAGGAACAGTAGGAGAAGAAAAAGACGAAAAAGAGGAAGAGGAAGAAACAGGGAAGGAGGAAGAGGAGGAAGACGAAAAAGAGTTGGACAAAGAAGAGGAGGAGGAGGAGGAGGAGGAAGAGGAAGAAGAGGAGGAAGAAGAGGAGGAGGAAGAAGAAGAAGAGGAGGAAGAAGAGGACTAAGAAGAAGAGGAAGAAGAAGAGGAAGAAGAAGAAGAGGAAGAAGAGGATTAAATCACTGTTTTAGCCAACCCAGCGACCCAACTAATTACCAGGACTGTGGAGATGACAACCTGCTGGTGATGTGAGAGACGTCTCTTGGCCTTATCTTCATCTCTCTCTCTCTCTAGCCTTTGTCTGTGTCTCTAGCCTTTGTCTCTCTCTCTCCAGGCTTATCTGCCTTCTCTCTCTCTCTCTCTCTCTCTCCTCTCTCTCTCGCTCTTTCTCTCTCTCTGTCTTTTTACACACAGCTCACCCCCCCCAACCCAATGCCAGTACAGGTAATGGTTAGTGCCTGGCGAACGATCAAACCCTTCCTTCCCCTTTTGCCTGCAGTGGTGTTCTTTCGCCAGGCGCAGAGGGTTGGATCGGGTTTCAGAGCTTCGAGTTGGGATTCAGTCGGTTCATAGTGTCTCGTTAATGTGTTGTTGTTGTTGTTGTTGTTGTTGTTGTTGTTGTTGTTGTTGTTGTTGTTGTTGTTGTTGTATATGATCAGGGTTGAATTTCTGGTCGAATCTTCATGACGGAAGATTAGATATTCACTGATTACTAAATACGAGTAGGGATTCGAGACACCGATTCGAAAGAGTAGGGATTCGATACACCGATTCGAATATGAAGGGATTGGGATATTGGATCATATTCAAAGAAAGTCAACACAATGATTCGCACAACTGAGATTCGAAACAGATTAGCTCGAATCAGTAAAAGATTGAAGATTCACTTAATCAGTAAAAAGATTCAAAGGTTCACGTGGCTGAAACAATCATAATAACACAACCAAAAGTATATATCCTACAGGACCAATACGTCCCAGGCCGACCCGACTAGGGAGATACAGCACAAGTCCAATCACTGTCACAAAAAAAGTCCTCCGTTCATTTAGATTTTTTTTTTCACCGGGTCATTCATATATTGGTATTTGACGATATGAAACGTTTGAACCAGTAGCGTTTGATGTTACGGTCATGGGAAGAGGTATTTTATTATTTTATTTTATATATATGCTGGAAGGGGTGTGCATATTGTTTACATGAAAACAATGTAAAAAATAAATTCTTGGCATTTAAATGTTTTAATACACAGTGATACATACAAACACACACACACACACACACACACACACACACAGATCCGCACACTCACATAAACACACATTTACTCATATACAAACAAACTCTCTCTCTCTCTCTATACCCCCTCCTTCCTCATTCACTCCTCCACACTCCCATCCATCACCGTCCCCCCTCCTCCCCTCCTCCTCCCCCTCCTCCTCCCCCTCTCCCCCCCTCCCCTTCAGTTATGCCCCTTCTGTTGGATCAATTTAACGCTTGTCGTGTTCCAGGCCTCTTGGGGGCAAGGGGCAGGGGGCAGGGCAGGCAGAGGCAGGCAGGGCGGGGGTGAGGCAGATGGCAGGGGTGAGCAGTTTATCCCCAGCTGGTTCTCCTCCACCAGCTGCCGCCCTCGCCACCAGCTGCCCCTCTACCACCAGCTGCGCCCTCCACCACCAGCCTGCCGCCCTACCACCAGCTGCCGCATTCTACTACCACCAGCTGCCGCCCTCCGCCTGCCTGCTGCCCTCCACCAACAGCTGCTGCCCTCTACCACCAGCTGCCGCATTCTACCACCACCAGCTATGCCCTCCCACCACCAGCTGCCCTCCACCACCAGCTGCTGCCTCCCCACCAGCTGCCCTCTACCACCAGCTGCCATTCTACCACCACCAGCTGCCGCCCTCCGCCACCAGCACTGCTGCCGCCCTCGACCACCAGCTGCCGCCTCGACCACCAGCTGCCGCCCTCTACCAGTTGCCGCCCTCGACCACCAGCTGCCCCTCGACCACCAGCTGCCCTCCACCAGCTGCCGCCCTCTACCACCAGCTGCCGCCCTCTCCACCAGTGCCGCCCTCGACCCAGCTGCGCCCTCTACCACCATGCCTCACCAGCTGCCTCCCCAGCTGCCGCCCTCCGCCACCAGCTGCCGCCCTCAACCACCAGCTGCCGCCCTCCCCAGCTGCCCTCTACACAGCTGCCGCCCTCACCACCAGCTGCCGCCCTCCGCCACCAGCTGCCTCCTACCAACTGCCGCCTCGACCACTAGCTGCCGCCCTCTACCACCAGCTGCCGCCCTCGACCACCAGCTGCCGCTCCCTCGCTACACCGCCCTCCACCAGCTGCCCCCTCGACCACCAGTGCTGCCCTCCACCACAGCTGCCGCCCTCTACCACCAGCTCAGCCCTCCACACTCCTCCTACCATGCCGCCCTCCACCACCAGCTGCCGCCCTCGACCACCAGCTGCCGCCCTCGACCACCAGCTGCTGCCCTCGACCACCAGCTGCCGCCCTCGACCACCAGCTGCCGCCCTCGACCACCAGCTGCCGCCCTCGACCACCAGCTGCCGCCCTCGACCACCAGCTGCCGCCCTCGACCACCAGCTGCCGCCCTCGACCACCAGCTGCCGCCCTCGACCTAGCTGCCGCCCTCGACCACCAGCTGCCGCCCTCTACCACCAACTGAGTACCAGAACACTATCTTTACAACCCACGACAAGCCACACTAACAAGCCACCCTAACAAAGCCACCCTAACAAGCCACCCTAACAAAGCCACCCTAACAAGCCACCCTAACAAGCCACACCTAACAAGCCAGGGTTGAGTTGAGAGTTACTATACATTAAACTTAGTATTAATGGTTAAGTTGGTGACTGTGTTGACAACATATTAGTCGACTCTCCCTCCCTCCTCCTTCCTTCCCTTCCCCCTTCCTTTCTTACCCTCTCCCTCCCTCCCTTCCTCCCTTCCCCTCCTCCCCTTCCCTGTTCTCCTCCCCCTCCCTCCCCTTCTTTTCCTTACCCTCTTCCTCCTCCCTCCCCCTCCCCTTCCTTGTTCTCCTCCCTCCTTCCCCTCCCTTCCTTCTCCTCCCCCCTTCCTGTTCTCCTCCCCTCCCTCCCTCCTCCCCTCTCCCTCCCTTCCCATTATGAGCTAAAAATCTCACAGCTCATTTAAGAATCTACCTTGTGTGTGTGTGTGTGTGTGTGTGTGTGTGTGTGTGTGTGTGTGTGTGTGTGTGTGTGTGTGTGTGTGTGTGTGTGTGTGTGTGTGTGTGTGTGTGTGTGTGTCTGGCTTATATGCCTGAACTTGTGTTAATGGAGGGAGGAGGGGGAGGAGGGGAAGGAGTAGGAGGGGGAAGGGGTGAGTGAGGAGGAGGGAGGGGTTATTCTCCCATATCACCCAAAACTTTCGCCTCTCCCTTCTCCCTCCCCCTATTCTCCCCTCCTCCCCCCCTCCCCCTCCCTTCATCATCAGTTAGAACATTGAGTCGTCAAATCCGATCATATCTTCTATAAACCTTTATTCCCCCTCCACCCCCCCTCCCCTCCCCCCATCCCTCCCCCCCCCACCCCTCCCCAAACTCCTACCTTCTCTTCCTTAACTCTCTCTCCTCTCTCTCTCTCCCCTCCCCGACCCCTATCCTCCCCTCCTCCCTCTCCTTCACTCTTCAGGCACCATTACCATTCCTTCCCCATTCTCCCCTTCTCTCCCCATCCTCTGCCCCTCTCCTCCTTCCCTCTCCTCCTCCTTCTCCCTCTCCTCCTCCTTCTCCCTCTCCTCCTCCTTCTCCCTCTCCTCCTCCTTCTCCCTCTCCTCCTTCTCCCCTCTCCTCCTTCTCCCCTCTCACCAAAGGCTCAGTTTCCAACACTGAAGAGACACAACCTTAACTTCCCTCCTTCCTCCTCCTCCTCCTGTCCCCTCTCCTTCCTTCCATCCCTCCCTCCTTCTCCTTGACCTTTCCTCTCCTCTCATTCTTCGTCTTCCTTCCCGACCTTCCTCTCCTTCTTCTGATCCTCTTCCACCTCTTTCCTTTACCCATCCTCTTCCTTGTTCTCTCCTCCTTTCCTTCAAACCTTTCCTCCACCTCCCTTATTCCTTCTCCCTCCTTCTTCCTCCTCCTCCTTCTTCCTCTTCTCCTCCTCCTTCTTCCTCCTTCTCCCTCAAGTGACGCATCAAGACTGAAAAGTAGTAACTGACCTAAAGCTCCTACCACTTTCAAACTTACTTATAAAACTTCTTACGCTGACACAACTTACTTCACTGTTACCAGGTCTCTCCTCCTTACCTCCCTCGACCTCTACCTCCCTCCTCGACCTCTACCTCCCTCTCGACCTCTACCTCCCTCTCTCGACCTCTACCTCCCTCCTCGACCTCTACCTCCCCTCTCGACCTCACCTCCCTCCTCGACCTCTACCTCCACTCTCTCGACCTCTACCTCCCTCTTCGACCTCTCCCTCCCTCCCTCCTCTCTCGACCTCTCCCTCCTCCTCCCCTCTCAACTCCCTCCTTCTCTCTTTCTCCTACTCTTATCTTACTACTCCCTGCCCCTCCCTAACACTCCTTCCTTCACCTCCCACCATTCCTCCTTCCTTCCTCTCACCTCTCCTTCCTCCCACCCACTCTCTCTCCTCTCACTCTCTCCATTCCCTCTCTCTCCTTCCTTCTCTCTCCCTCTCTCTCTCTCTCTCTCTCTCTCTCTCTCCTCTCTCCCTACCTCCTTCCTTCTCCTTCTCTCTCACAATCACTCTATCTTTACTAACTCTCTCTCTCTCCCCATAATAACAACCTTAATCATGATATCGAACAAAACCCGATTTTCGTAATTTGTCCCCGATATTGATAAAGCCAACGGTTTATTTAGGGAAGTCTGGACAACGAAGGGGTGGGGTGGGGGTGGGAGGTGTGGAGGGAGACGGTGAGTGGTGTGTGTGTGTGTGTGTGTGTGTGGGAGAGACGTGTGTGTGTGTGTGTGTGTGTGTGTGTGTGTGTGCCCGTGTGTGTGGGTGTGTGTAGATACGGTGTGTGTGTGTGAGTGTGTGTGTAAAAGTTTCTAGATGGAGTACGTCATGTTATAAGTTTGTTAACACCACTTGTGTATAAAAAAAAAAACACCATTATTCATGTTAGTCACACTAGTTAGGTCAACACCCTTGGAGTCCCCATACCTCTCCCTCTCTCTCTATCTCTCACACCCCCCCTCTCTCTCTCTGCCGTCCACCCATTCATTCATGTAACTTAATCAGCTTTACCAACTCCCTGTGTGTGTGTGTGTGTGTGTGTGTGTGTGTGTGTGTGGGTGTGTGTGTGTATGTATGTGTGTGTGTGTGTGTGGGGTGTGTGTGTGGTGGGGGTCAAGCGGTGTATGTGGTGTGTGGTGGGGTGTGGGTGTGTGGTGTGTTTAGAGTGGGTGGGGTGGGGCTGGTGGGCACAGACTCCCTGGTTTTACTGCCCGTAAACCTAGTAAACAGACACACACACACACACACACAAACACACACACACACACACACACACAACAAACAAGACACTGATAGACTGACAGAAACAGACAGGGAAGAGAAGAGAGACAGAGAGAGAGAGAGAGAGAGAGAGAGAGAGAGAGAGAGAGAGAGAGAGAGAGAGAGAGAGAGAGAGAGAGACATACAAATACAAGAATTTATGTAAAACACTATTAAGAAGAGGAAGGAAGGAAGGAAGGAAGGACGAACAGAGACCTTCCACACACACTGACCATCACAGGAGGTCCAGCCAATCACCACACACCTCCCAGGTCGTAAACAACCCGCCCTTAGCCAATCAGCGACGTCCTCCTCACCTAATCCACCCAATCACCACCAACGTCTCTCAGCCAATCACAGTCCACCGGTGTTGATGTCTTCTTGGCCAATCAGGGGGTTGATGTCTTCTCAATAGTAGAGTCGGGGTTGATGTCCGGCCAATCAGAGTCGGGGGTTGATGTCTTCTTGGCCAATCAGGAGTCGGGGTTGATGTCTTCTTGGCCAATCAGAGTCGGAGGTTGATGTCTTCTTGGCCAATCAGAGTCGAAGTTGATGTCTTCTTGGCCAATCAGAGTCGAGGTTGATGTCTTCTTGGCCAATCAGAGTCGGGGGTTGATGTCTTCTTGGCCAATCAGAGTCGGGGGTTGATGTCTTTTGACCTAATCCACCTTAACTAATCCTAATCTACCCTTGAAATATTACAAAAATAGGAGATTAAGTTAAATTGGCACAAAAAATAGGGTAAAATTAGAATAAAATTAAGAAAATGGTTAAAAATTCAGATAACAGGAATTGGGTACAAGTTACAAAAATAGGGAAACGTTTGCTGAAATAGGAGACGGTAGGAAATAAGAACTATGTGAATTAGGGAGACCTAGGTGAGAAATTGGTATAGAATAGGGGAAATTGAGGATATTATCAAAAATAGGGATAAATGTACGAGTAATAGGCACAAAATTGGGATAAATATGGAAAATGGGACCAAATAGGGAGAAATGGGTTATTAAATGGTGTAGAAAATATGAAAAGCCCCCAAAAAGAGAGCAAAACTAAGAATATTGAACAAAAAATAGGAGAAATTGGTAGAAAAACGTATAATATAGTAAAAATGGGAGAAAATTGGAATAAAATGGGGAAAATTGGTCCCCAAAAATAGGAAATGAGGAGAAAATCCTCAGAGGTTCTTCACGATCATCATTAATTACTTCGCGTGTTAAAAGTTAGAAGGGGCAACCCACCACTAAATCTTCCTCTTCTTCCTCCTCCTCTTCCTTTCTTCTTCCTCCTCTTCCTTTCTTCTCCTCCTTTCTTCCTCCTTTTCTCTTCTCTCCTCTCTTACTTTGTTTTATCCTTCCACTCCTACCTTTATTCTTATTTGTCCTCCCTCCTCCTCCTCCTTCTCTATCCTTCCTCCTCCTTCCATCTACTCATTCTCTTCTCCCTCTCTCACCCTTCCACCTCTGTGTTGTGTGTGTGTGTGTGTGTGTGTGTGTGTGTGTGTGTGTGTGTGTGTGTGTGTGTGTGTGTGTCAAAATCCACAAAGTCACAAGATAAACACGAGGAGGAAATGTCAGAACAACGCTGAGACTCACTTATTAGGTTAGGCTAGGTTAGGAAGAAGTTAGGTTAGGTCAGGCCAGGCTAGTCAGGTCACAAGAAGGTTGCTAGGTAAGGCAGGTTAGGTCAGGTCAGGTAAGGTTAAGTTAGAGGTCAGGTACAAGGACAGGCCAGGCTGTGGGTTAGAGGCAGCTGGTCAGGTAAGGTCAGTTAGAGGTCAGGCGGTCAGGCCAGGCTGGTTAGAGCTGTTCTTGTAGAAGAAAAAATGTAGGAGCTTTTTGGAATGTGGGGGAGATTGTTAGAGAGAGAGACGGGAGTTAGCTGCCTGCAAAAATATTTAGCAAGACTCACCTGGCAAGCACCCCACACTGGGAGAGGGGAGAGGGTGGGGAGAGGTGGAGGAGGAGAGGTGAGGTGGGGGAGGGGGGAGAGGGGGTGGGGGAGAGGGAGGTGGGTGGATGGGGGAGAGGGGAGAGGGAGAAGGGGTGGGATGAGAGGGGGGTGGGGGAGAAGGGGGGTGAGAGAGTGTGGATGGGGTTGAGGGGGAGTGATGGGTTGAGGGGAGAGGGGGGGTGAGGAGGTAGAGGGGGGGTGAAGGAAAAGGAGAGAATTGATAAAGGAAGGAGAGGGGACAGGGAGGAGAAGAAGAAGAGAACTAGGAAGGAAAGAAGGAAGAGATGAATGGGA